CTGGGACTACAGGCAGGTGCCACCATGCCCAGCTAATTTTTGTATTTTTAGTAGAGACAGGGTTTTTCCATGTTGACCAGGCTGGTCTCAAACTCCTGACCTCAGGTAATCCGCCTCGCCCTCCCAAAGTGCTGGGATTACAGGCATGAGCCAACACACCTGACCCCAATCATTTCTTTCATTCCCAATCCAGGCATTTCTTACCTCACAGCCCCTGCTTACAGTTCTCACCTGACCTTGGAGGCTGACTCTGGACGTTCTGCTGATATTTTCTCCCACTATCCTGCTCAGGTGGTGGTTTAAGTGTTCCGCAGCAAAAACAGCAGCAACAACAGAAACAGCAACAAGTGAGCAGTGTACACAGGATGACAAGTGTCTAAAAGGTAGGCGAGAATGGCCTCAGTCCAGCAGTTTTCTATATGACTGCTCAAGCTTCCCTCCCTCAATCCTCCTGGCACCCAGAAAAAGAGACAACAGAAGCATTTGTCATAAGGAGAGGAAGGTCACCCTTCTTTCCTTATTCTTAAGGGACCTAGAGAATTGTGTACCTTGAACCAACAACTATTCAGAATAAAATAGTATCTGACGCCTTCTTCACCAAAGTGATCATACAGATATATTCCCAATGAGCCATGCTGGTCGTAAATTTTCCGCTTCTTAGGGTCGCTCAGTATGGCATGAGCTGCGTTGATCTCTTTGAATATTTCTGCTGCTTGAGTATTCCCTGGATTCTTGTCGGGATGATACTGCAAGGCCAGTTTCCTACCCAGGCGATACCCAAAAGGAGGGTGGGGAAGCAATGGGGAATGGCTGGGGAAGAAGGCTTAGGATGAATGACAGGGATTAGTCTCTAGAGAGTGCAGAAGGAATGCATGAGATGTGGTACAAGGATGGAGGCAAGCATCCAAGGTTTAAACTCCTTCCCATATTATAATGAAGAGGGTGATGGCCCCATTTGGCCCCAAAGTGAGGGCTTGTTGGAACTTAAAAATGGGTCATAGGGCCAGGCGCATTGGCTCACACCTGTAATCCCAGCGCTTTGGGAGGCTGAGGTGAGTGGATCATGAGGACAGGAGTTTGAGACCAGCCTGGCCAACATGGTGAAACCCTGTCTCTACCAAAAATACAAAAAATTAGCTAGGCGTGGTGGCAGGCACCTGTAATCCCAGTTACTCGGGAGGTTGAGGCAGGAGAATCACTTGAACCAGGAAGGCGGAGGTTGCAGTGAGCCAAGACTGCACCACTGCACTACAGCTTGGGCAACAGAGCGAGACTCTGTCTCCAAACAAACAAACAAACAAAGGGTCGTAGGCCGGGCACAGTGGTTCACGCCTGTAATCCCAGCACTTTGGGAGGCCGAGGCGGGTAGATCACCTGAGGTCAGGAGTTTGAGAACAGCCTGGCCAACATGGCAAAACCTTGTCTCTACTAAAAATACAAAAATTAGCCAGGCGTGGTGGTGCACGCCTGTAGTCCCAGCTTCTCAGAAGGCTCAACAGTCTCTGTCTCTGCTTTGGGACAGGGTGAGAATTTCTCTCAAAAAAAAAAAAAAAAAAGAAGAAGAAGAGTCAGATAGCAAAACAGATACAGAAAGAAAAAGGCTTTAAGGGGGAAATTCCAAGGATCAGTAAAGGACTGAGGTCTGAACCTGTAGGATTTTTTGACGTCTTCAGGTGAGGCACCCTTCTTAAGCTCCAGCACTGCATAGAGGCTCGTCCCACTTTTGGACAGCCGGTGGGCTGCTTCGTTCATGGTAGACATGATCTGAGCCAGAGGAGAAGCCGCATCTGTGAGAACTTCTACAAGTAAGGGCCCGGAGAAGTGCACTTCCAGTAACAGGAAACTCACTACCTTCAGGGATTAGGCAGGTAAATGATGACAGAAGGACAAGGATAAGATAACAGTGAGTGGGATCTGTGGCTAGCAGGAGAATTCAGGTGATCAGAAACATTCAGATTTTAAGGAGGAAACATCTTCTCCTCACATTTCCCAGCGTCCTCCAGCTACACAGACCTCCAGACATCCCACATCCTAAGGTGCTGTAAGCTAGGAGAGGTCTAAACCAGGAAAAGAGCCTGATTTTGTCTAGCGCTTCTACTACCTGGAGTAAACACCTCTGGGTCTGTCCAAGCTCACTGCCGGGTTTGAAGGACCAGGGCGGCCCCAGCCTGAACAGATTGGATCAGGAATCAGAAAGATCCACAACTTCTTTTTTTTTTTGACAGAGTTTTTTGCTCTTGTCGCCCAGGCTGGAGTGTAATGGCGTGATCTGGGCTCACTG